CAGACTGAAGAGTCCCCAGTTCGATTCCGGTCAAGGGCATGTACCTTGGTTGCGGGCACATCCCCAGTAAGGGGTGTGCATGAGGCAGCTGATCCATGTTTCTCTCTCATCGATGTTTCTCACTCTCCCTCTTCCTTCCTCTCTGTGGAAATCAATTATATATATATATATATATATATATATATATATATATATATATATATACACACACACACACACACACACACACACGTGTGTGTGTGTGTATATATATATATATATATATATATATATATATATATTCGAAACATTGATGAGAAACATCAATCAGCTGCCTCCTGCACACCCCCTACTTTGGGGATGTGCCTGAAACCGAGGTACATACATGCCCCTTGACTGGAATTGAATCTGGGGCCCTTGAGTCCGCAGGCCTATGCTTTATTCACTGAGCCAAACCAGCTAGGACCAAAGAGATCTTCTTATAAAATTCTAGCCCTAAGAAGTATAGAAACAGGCTAAACTCGCCTGTGTGATCAAAGTCAGAATAGAGGTTTCCTTTGTCTGTGGGCTGCTGTGTGGGTGGGGGGGCCAGCTGGGGAGTGGGAAGCTAGGAACACCTCCTGCCTGGACTCAGGCTGTGGTCATGTGGGTGGATACCTATGTACACAGCTTAGCACAACCAGACCTGATGTATGTTCCAGGACACACAATGCTCTCTCTAACCTCCTTCAGCCAGAAACTTTGAAGCTGAACCTAATCAAGACTTTAAATCTAACTTCCAGTTTCCAAGAAATGTAGGGGAAGAGGAACCAGCTTAATGACGCCATGAGGAAGCAACCAGACCACCCGAGAAGGCTAGCGCTTCTGTAGGACAACCGCCCAGTCTCTCTCACGGGGGAAACGGGTCAGACGGACCCAAGAGGCACGGCCAGGGCAGTGCAAGGTCTCGGTTTGGACCTGGTTTGGACAGACCACTTGTAAAGTTTTAGAGGCAATTTGGGTGTGTAAATATATGGATGTTTAGATGACAAAAAAATTTTAAATATATTTTTACTGATTTCATAGAGGAAGGAAGAGGGAGAGAGAGATAGAAATATCAATGATGAGAGAGAATCATTGATTGGCTGACTCCTGCACACCCCCACTGGGGATGGAGCCTGCAACCCAGGCATGTGCTCTTGACTGGAATCGAACCTGGGACCCTTCAGTCTGCAGGCTGATGCTCTATCCACCCAACCAAACCGGCTAGGCTGTTTTTTTTTTTTTTTTTTTTTTTTTTTTTTTTTTTTTTTTTTTTTTATGTTTTAAAGTGTGATGTTGGAAAATGCTATTTTAAAAAGATGAATTTGAAAAAAACTCAAATTCCCTTCAGCTTGAAGGACTAGTTAAACAGAGGACACATCTGGAAGCAAGGTCTCAACAGAAAGAGCAAGATGCTTTCAAGAAACGAGTTTGCAGCCTCTTGCATTTGGAAGGAAGGGGAGAGGTAAGGAAGATTGCATGAAGGTGGGAGGAAGGAAGCAAGGCAAGGATCGGGTCATAGCACAGGACGGTTAAGATTCTGTGCTCCCTCCCAGGGGGTCAGGCTGTAGAAGGAGGGGCCCGGAAAGGGTGATTTCAAAGGTGTGTTAACCTAGGTGCACAGATAGGGCTTCCTGATAGGGACTAACCTTTCACTCCAGTCACACACCTGGGAGATGACTACCTACCATGACCTGCCCAGGTAGGAATTTATGATCAGGTCAACCTTGAGATTACTTTCCATAAAACCCTCCTTTTCACCCACGGCTCCATGAGAATGTAAGTTCTAGGAGGACAGAGATTTTTGCAATGTTCATCATCGCCGTATCCCAGTGCCTGGCACATCGCAGGTGCTTCATAAATATTTAGTGAGTGAACGAATAGACATTATTTTATATATATATATATATATATATATATATATAATTGATTTTTTACAGAGAGGAAGGGAGAGAGATAGAGAGCCAGAAACGTCGATGAGAGAGAAACATCGACCAGCCGCCTCCTGCATGCAACCAATGTACATGCCCTTGTCCGGAATCGAACCTGAGACCTTTCAGTCCGCAGACCGACGCTCTACCACTGAGCCAAACCGGTTTCGGCTAGACATTATTTTAAAGGTGAGTCCATGGTATGGATGATGTCATAGTAACAGCACAGGAGTGGCTACCACTCATCAGGCATGTCTGGTATGGCCCTTTCTGAATCTAGTTCCTTCACAAATTTACATTCCTTTCCGAGTTCAAAGTCCTTTATGAATTTGCACTCATTTGAACTTCTGGACAATCTAATGAACGAGGCTTGAGAGCCACTTCCATTGAATAGATTACCAAACCGGGGTTCAGGCATTTTATTACCTCTCCCTCAGTCGCTCGGATAACGGGTCGTACCCGTCTGGCTACATCTTGAACTGGTACATTTAACTACCGGTACGTGTGCCAAACTGGCGCAGAATGGGGACATCACAACGTACTTCAGTTTTCTCCTACAAATAGACACCCTCTTGTGGGTCTCAGATGAGGCAGGGAAGGCCCAGAGAGGTCAAGGCACTTGTTCAAAATCACACAGCTGGAATTCAAGTCCAACAGCTGGATCTGAGGTCTGGATCCTCCATCATCACGTCTCACCTGCCAAAGCCTCCTTCTCTCCCAGGAGAAGGACGAGGGTCAGGGGGGCTTTCCGGGTGGCCCTCTCCTGCTCCGTGGCAAAGTCCTTCCTCCCCAGGGTCCTCCCTCCACCACAGCTCCTCTCCCAGCGCGGGAATTCTCTCCCAGGTGGCCCTTGGCCATGGACTTGCCCACTTAATCCCCTTAATGGCTCACCTGCCTCCCGGAGGGAGTGTGGGCGTCTCTTCTTTAGGTTCCTGTTCTGGAGTTTCCCACGTTTGCACCTTTGTTAATACTCAATAGAGGATTTTCCCCCCATTGAGTTTTAAATTTTTTCTTTTATTTTTCCATTGATTGATTAAAAAAAATTTTTTTTTTTTGAGAATGGAAGGGAGGAGAAGAGGCATACAGAGAGAAACATCAACATGAGAGACACACGGATGTTGGTTACCTTCCGCATGCATCCCCACCGGCAGGCAGAACCTGCAACTAAGGCCGAGCCCCTAGACCGGAATGGAACCTGCAGTTCACAGGCTGATGCTCTAACCACTGGGGAAAACTGTCCAGGGCCACCTTTGCATCTTTTGGGTTTGAGAGGTCAGGGGCCACCTGGAGGGGCTTACTTGACATTCATTCATTCAGTCACTTTAACTGGGCACTTCCACCTGCCAGGGGCGCTATTCCAATGAGACATCTCTCCCCTGCCTTCCCTGTCCCCACCACACCCCCATAACACCCTACAGTGTAGACAGACCTCATGGCTAAGGCGCTGTTCAGCTTTCTTTTCTTTTTAAACTTGTTTTATAATTATTACCATTTTTTCCCCTTTTCCAGTTTGTGTTTTCTGTGGCCGTTGGAAATGTTCTCGTGAGGCAGGGCTCATTGGGAGGTCAGTGGAAGGCCTGGTGCTCGGCGAGGCTGAGGGGCCTGCAAGGTCACACACAGAGAGTGTGCAGGCCAGCTGAGAGACGAGGCAGAGGATAGGCCGGACTTCTCCTCCAGTCCCCAAGGGGAAAGCCTCACCTCGTTGTAACTGGGGGAAACCAGGGGAAGGGTTGTCATTAGGAGAAGCAGGTCCCTAGGGCGCGGGCAGGGCGGCTGGGGATGTGGGTGGATCAAGGGCGCTGAGGCTGCCGCTGACCTGCACCCCAGAAGGAAAGGGTCTACCGAGTGCTCTGCCCTTTATTCTTTTTTATTTTTATTGATTCTTTGCACAGAGGAAGGAAGAGGTATAGAGAGCTAGAAACATCAATGAGAAACATCGATCAGCTGCCTCCTGCAACCCCCCCCCCCCTCCACTGGGGATGTGCCCGCAACCAACGTACGTGCCCTTGACCGGAATTGAACCTGGGACCTTTCAGTCTGCAGGCTGACGCTCTAACCGGTTTCGGCCTGCCCTTTATTCTCGATGCTTCTAGTACCCTCCCTTCCCCCTCGGTGGAAGGGGACACCCGGAGTGTGAGTCAACATCCTAAGCCTAAAAAGGCCCGTGGGTGTTCCTGTGCCCGCCGCAGGGTCACCGTCCTGGGCCTGGACCCGTCTGTCCTCGAGGGCAGAGATGACCTCACCGAACGCCCGCATCCCCCACGGCCCGCGGCGGCCCGATGAACGGCGCTGGGGGAGGGGCTGGACGCGGCCCGGGGCACAGACTTGCTCCGGATGAATGACACTGGGCTTCCACCACTGCCCAGGGACAAGCAGAAAATGCCCACACCCCCGCTTTTAAAAAAGTAAAACCGCTTGTCCAGGGCCGCCCCACACCCAGCCCCGCGTTCTCCGTCGGCGAGCCCCACAGCCGGAGCCGGGACCCAAACCAGCACCACGTTCCCAGGCAGGAGAGGCGCGGCGCCTTTAAGAGGCGGCGGGCGGTGCTGCCCCCTGGCGGCCGGCGCGGCCGCGCTTCCTCCGCCCGCGGGTCCAGCGGGCCGGCCGGGTCAGCGCGGCGGCGGCGGCGGCGGCGGGGCCGGGCCCGGCGGGTGCTCGCCAAGACGAGGACCGGGCGGCGGGGCGGGGCGGGGCCGCGGGGGGCTGCGGGCGGCGGCGGCGTGCGCCTCGCCGGGTCCCAGCGTGCGGGGAAGGGCACGCGCCCGGCTCGGAACGCGGCCGCCCGCGCCGCCCGAGCTCCTGGGGTGGAGAGGCGGGAGGAGGGGGGCCTCGGGGCGGCGGGGAGCCCGGAGGGTGGGCGCCCGGCCCTCGGTGGCCGGAGGGCGGGGCGGCGCCGCGGAGCAGAGCCTCCCCGCGCTCCTCCGGGCCGGCCCCGCCGCGGCGCTCGCGAACTTGCGCGCCGGCCGGCGAGCCCCGCGGGAGGCGGCGGGGCGGCGGGGGCGGGCCCGGCGCGGCGGCAGCCAGTGGCCGGGCCGCGCTGAGCGCCGCTCCCCGCCCGGCGCCGCCCCGCCCCGGCCCGCCCCTCCCGGCAGGACTGCGCGCCGAGCCGCGTTCCGCGTCCCCGCCGCCGCCGGGAGGAGGTGCCGCTCGCTCGCTCGCGGCGCGCGCCGGCCGCCAGACTCGGCCTGCGGGTGGGCGATTTCCTCCGGACCCCAGCTCCGCGCCGCCCGAGGAGGAAGATGCAGACCTTCCTGAAAGGGAAGAGAGTCGGCTACTGGCTGAGCGAGAAGAAAATCAAGAAGCTCAATTTCCAGGCCTTCGCCGAGCTGTGCAGGTAGGTAAGCGGGGAGCGGGGTTCCGGCGCCCCGGGGATCCCCGGCCGGACGGAGCCCGGCGCAGCCCCGCCGCCGGCTCTCCCGGAGCTCAGAGCGGAGCGCAGGGAGCGGTGCCCGGGACCCCGGGTCCGGGAGCCCGGTGGCTGCGGCGGCCGCCGGGGGTGATCGGGGGCAGCGGGGGCCCAGGGTGAGCGTGTGGCTCAGCCCCGGGCGCTCTCAGGTGCACGGTGCCCCGGGCCGGGACGCCTGCAGCGCCCCGGGCGCGGTGGGAGCGCCGCTGAAGGCGGTGGAGGGACCTGGGGAATCAATCGGGGGGGAATCCAAGCTCCGCCCGAGGCTGGTGGTTACTTTTTTAGACTAGAGTGTTTTTCTTCTTCTGTCGTTCCGTCCCCTTCTCTTCGTGGAGAAGGGGCACCCGTGTTCGTGTGTTTGCGGACCACCTACTGTGTGCCCCTGAGTGCAGCTCTTGAAGCTGACATTGCACGGCGCTGGGATAAGCCGATGGATGTGAAGCGAGGAGCAGTACTCGGCTCGTAGGTGGGGATTTGCTGTCTCATTAACGGAGCCTCGCACTAGCCTTGAGCATTGGCCGGGTGGTGGGTGATTCTGGGCCACGTGTCTGAGAAGGGGGATCCATCCGCAGAGAGGTGGGGTGCCATGGTACCGGGCCAGGGGTCCCAGAACTAGGGAGTGGCTGGTGCTGAGGTGCTGGGTATAAATGCATGTGGTCTAGGATGGTCCTTCTCCTCCCTCCCCCCATGCCCCCCCCCCCCCCCCATGCTGGTGCCCAGTGGTGGAGACTCAAGTGTGTTAATAAGACGGCATTCTCAGTCCCTTGCAGAAACAGCCAGTGTTGGGCCAGGTGTGCCTCTCCTTGCTGCCCGCCCACAGGTAGCTTTGCCTTGGAGCAGCCTCCAGGGGAACCCCGTTCTCCCAGAAAGCCCGAGACGATTCGGCTTCACAAACCTTTTGCAAACTCTAGGTGGAAACCTTTTGTTAGGCAGTGTCTCCTGATTCTTATTTTTTTAAAAAAATATATTTTATTGACTCTTTACAGAGAGGGAGTGTGATAGAGAGCTAGAAACATCAATGAGAGAGAAACATTGATCAGCTGCCTCCAGCACACCCCCTACTGAGGATGTGCCCCCTAACCCAGATACATGCCCTTGACCGGAATCGAATCCCGGACCTTTCAAGTCCGCAAGCCAACGCTCCATCCACTGAGCCAAACCGGTTTCGGCAATAGACCTGATTCTTGAAAATGGGCCCTACTTGCATTTTCATCCCTGCTGGGTCCCGAGATATCATGAAGAATTGAACAAGTATGATTTCTTGCCTTCAGGTCTCGCAGCACCTCTGTGCCCCTCCTGCCAGTCCCAGGGGCTTGGTGCTGCTGTGCCCCAGCAGGCGGCCGCAGGCGCCCTTCTCCCAGCAGCCAGAGGGGCGCCCTTTGCATAGGACAAGCAGCTCCCTGGGCCTGCATCCTTGGGCTGGGGATGGCGTTGGCTTCCTCCGTTCAGGCCCGCTTCCCCAGGAGAGAGCAAAGCTTCCCAGGGTCAGTAGGACACGCTGAATGCAAAGGACATCGGGAGGAACGCAAAGCCGGAGTTTTGAAACTGGGTCTGAGGACTTGCGGAACATTAACAAAGGGCGCTTGAACATTGTGCTCGTGGGAAGTGCACTCCAGACGCTGAGCAAGTGTGGGGGGGCCCCGCTGATGTGGTTGTGAAGGGCAGTTCTGTGTGAGGAGCCGGAGCTCCCCCTGCAGTCATCTGAAACTTGGGAAATCCCAGTGAAGACCTTGCACCCGTCTGCCTGGGGTTTGGCTGTCTTTGTGTCCTCCCGTGTCTGCAGCTAAACCAGGAGGCTTGTCGTCCGGTGGGTGTCTTCTGCCCGGTATTCAGGAGGCTCTCGTAAAACAGTTCTAGCCGAGACCCGCGGCGAGGTCCTCCTTCTCCACTTGCAGATTGGCTTTTCCATGGACTGTTATCTCTAAACAGGGAGGCTCAGGGCAAGCTATATGATGTCGACCCTTGGGGAAATCCATGGAGGAGTGTTACTTTCTCTCTGAAAGGGTTGTTGCCCTTAAAGCTGAGTTGCTTTTGGCCAAAATGAAGTCTTTGGGGAGAAGAGAGAAAGTCTAGGCCATTTTAGGGTCTCAGGCTGCTTTGTGTTTTCATTAGCGACCCGTTTAGATATTTTGTCACTGAAGCTTAAGAAGGAAAAGAAAACATCAAAAATAGTTCTTGTCGAAACCGGTTTGGCTCAGTGGATAGAGCGTCGGCCTGCAAACTGAAAGGTTTCAGGTTCGATTCCGGTCAAGGGCATGTACATTGGTTGCGGGCACATCCCCATCTGGGGGGGGGGGTGGAGGGGGTGTGTGTGTGTGCAAGAGGCAGCTAATCGACGTTTCTCTCTCATCGATGTTTCTAACTCTCTATCCCTCTCCCTTCCTCTCTGTAAAAAATCAATAAAATATATATTTTTAAAAAATAGTCCGTCCCCCCCCCCACCCCGTTTTCCCCTTTATTATTTTCAGAGCAGCGCCCCCTGGTGGCCATGTTTCTAAACTTGTGCAAAGTGCTCCCACCCTGGAGGGGATGGCGGAGTTCTCGGCTGATGCTGTGTTTGGTGAGGGGTGCTGGTGAGAGCTTAGGGGTCTCACCGGTGATGTGGATGGACAGTGCCACGTTTCTGACCTTCACGATCTGGGGGTACGGCGCTCCTGCTTTGATGGATGGTGAATTGTCTGTGACTTTCCCAGTGAAGAAGTCCAGAGATCTTGGAAAGTGACTGGGGGCTCTGCTCCGAATGTTTGGGGCGGTGTCAGCGCCAGAGAGGCTGACCTGAACAGACAGACCGGGATGGGTTGTTTAGTTGAACGTCAGGCCTTGAGAAGAATCTCTGAGCAGAAAGGGCTGTCGGAGAGCGTCTCGACCAGCCCTTTGTGTTACAGACGTGGAAACAGGCACGCGAGGGCGGCCGGTCCCCTCACTTTCTTCCTTGTCTGTAACTTCTAGAGTGGGTCCAATCGGGTGACCTTGAGGCCCGCACAGAAGGCCAGCCCTCCCTCTGAGCACCTCTGACAGTCAGGAGGAGTTGCTGTCTCTGTTATTTTCACAGGCGTCCGGCGACTGCCATCTTGTCCCGGGACATGTCCCTGCGAGGCTGAGCCGTGCCCTTGGCAGGTGCAATGCCTGCTCTCCGAGGGGGCACCGCACATGGACAGCATCGGCAGGTGTTTGGAGCCTGGTCCTGCTGGGATGCCACAGGGAGACATAAGGGCCCGCCTCGGTGCCCCCTGACAGGCGGGCCCTCTCACAAGTCAGCAGAGGGGCCTTTGACTCAGCTTGTTTTCAGTGAAGCTGTGTGTTCTGTGACCTGGCTGGGTCTTCCCCTCTCCCTGGGGACCTGCTTGTTGTCTTCTACCCCCTCCCCCCTGACACAGGAGAGCTTGCTGCTTCCTCACACCCACTCTGTGGCCTTTTCAGCATGCCCACAGGGACTGCAGAGGGTCGGCCAAGAGGGAGCGCTGTTGGTGGGAATCGCTGGGTGATTAAAAAAAAAAATATTTTATTGAGTTTCCACAGCGAGGAAGAGAGAGAGGGATAGAAAGCCAGAAACATCGATTAGCTGCCTCCTGCACACACACCCCACTGGGGATGTGCCCGCAACCAAGGTACATGCCCTTGACCGGAATCGAACCCGGGACCCCTCAGTCCGCAGGCTGATGCTCTATCCACTGAGCCAAACCGGTTCCGGCTGCTGGGTGATTTTTGTTGTAGATCTCCTCGGCGCCCCGTTTGGAGACGCTCGCGCCCGTGTCTTTGGCTCCTCCAGCGCCTTCTTGCCTCCCCCCTCTTCTGTGTCCCGCGGCGGCAGCTGTGGGGCAGGGGGTGGTGCGAAGGCAGTGACTGTAGGGAGCATTGCGGTATAGAATGTGGGTGAGCCTCGGTCGGTCTGTGCCGTAATAGTCGCCGGCTTCCATGTGGTCCCTCCGGCATCCTTATCTCACCTCGCCGAGTCCCCGCAGCCTGGCAGCCTGGGGATGGAGGGCGAGGTCGCAGGAACTGTACAGGGGACTGTACAACCAGAACTGAGGCCGCTGCTCCTGGGATCCTGGCTTCCCAGCGTGTGCTCCTCTGCCCAGGGCAGGCTCCAGGAGCAGACGTCTGTGCGGCCCTGTCCTTGAGGAACGTGGAGGCCAGCTGGGCCGACGAGCTCGCAGGAAATAGTATGTCTCTGGGCATGTCAGACGGTGCTATCGATGCCGGCTTCCCCACAGGGACCCTTCGCTCAGCTCCCCAGAAGGCATGTGGCCGGCAGTCTGTTGTGGCGCGTGTTCACGGAGGCAGTGGGTGGGGGGCAGTGGGCTGGAGCCCCTGCCCTCCCAGAGCCCTGAGTGTGGTGAGAACAGGAACCCGGCCTGGGAGGCACCCCGGGGAGCTTGAGGTGCCAGTGTCCCTTCTCCTCAGGGCCCACATTCCTCCACAGGGGTTGTCGCAAGGTCCCTTACCGCTCTTAGCTGGAATGCTTCCGGGAGATGCTTAGCGGGGAGGAAGGCGGGTCTTTTCCAGGATGGAATGATGCTGGTCTGTTTGTCTCGCTGTCTGGCATTGGCATCGTTGGGGGGCGTGGGGGGGGGGGGGAGGACTTAGGTTTCCTTTGCAGCAGTGCCCGGGGACTGTCACAGCCAGCCTTGCAGATAGGCACGTCCCGCAAGCTCCCGGAGCACACTGGACTCAGGGTGGGAGACACGGCTGCCGGGAGACACTGTTGTCTGTGGGTGAGGCACCCAGGGCCCCAGGCCAGGCCCCACCCGCACCCTGGCATGTGACTTAACCCCTTGGCGCCTCAGTGTCCCCTCCTGTCAGTGAGGAGGATAACAGGGCTTAGTCTGGGGCTGTCGTGTGCGTTGAAGGAGCCGGTGTGCACATGTGGAATGCCTGGACCTCTGTAAGTGGGGCTTGCTGCTGTCCTTGCTCTGTTTGGTGACCTG